TAGCTTCGAAAGTTTAGGTTTAGGGTGATACTTAATATTATATTATATACTAGGTTCTCTTTAATAAAAGAAGTATATTACTAATCAAATATCAAGTATAAAGAAGAAAGGAAAAGAAAATAAAACGTAAAATAATAAATAGGTCTTTATACCCCTTCGGGGGCATAGCCCTATCCTCGCTTATCCTAGAAGGAAGGTATAATTGCCTGAGTAAATAAGAAGGAACGACCAATAGTATAATCCTAAATAGGAAGGTACGAGTTCTTCCAGTGCCAATTGTGACAAATACTCCTTTTTGAAATTATACTCATTTTACTTTATGGTCTAGTATCCTACTATTTATACCATATAAAACAGCCTCTCTTTTATTTAACAAATAATCGCAACAAGTGGCTGCTGACTACTAATATACCACTGGAAGTAAGGAACGTACGGAAGTGCGCCATTTCTGGTTGACAATATCTAGGATCTAGTAAATAGATAGACAGCTTAATAATAGATAAGACGAATTTAGGAGCTATAATATAGCTTCTAGGGGGGTATATTAACTAGAAATAACATACTTCTATATATTCCTTACTTCCAGTATTATATTAGTAGTTAGCAGCCACTTATTACGATTATATAAACATATACTAAGATAGATCTCGGAGGAGAACACTCCTTTTTAGAATTACACTCATTTTACCCTATGGTCCAGTATCCTACTGTTTGTACCATACAAAACAGCCTCTCTTTTGTTCGTCATTATACTCATTTTACCCTTTAGTCTAGTATCCTACTACTCGTATCATAGAAAACAGTCCTCACTTTATTCGTTAGTATACGGCCCCGCGCGCACTCACTACACAGGAACATTTTTAAAATATCATACTATAATTTATCATCAGTGAAGAGATAGTGAGGCTTCTATTCAACAAACATTCTCCCTTTGCATTATATGATCGAGAGACGCTTGGAAGGGAAGAAAATACAATAGGGCTGTGCCCCCTCCCCAACCCCATTCAATTGTAATTCGATCAACCAGGAGCCTTGCCATGAAAACATAAAGACTCAATCAACGAGTAGTATATCCACCATTGGCGAAAATGGTCTGGCCGGTAATCCACGCACCATCAGTACAGAGGAAGCGAATGATAGGAGCAATGTCCTCTACCATGGTAAGACGGTTGCCCATGCCATTTGCTTTGTGGAATTCCACAGCTTCTGGAGATTCCTGGGGATAGAAGAAAGCTATTGATAACATCTCATGTTAGATCGTTTGAACGAAACGTATCCTTTGATTATTCATAGTAGTAAACTCACGTGTATCCATTGGTCCCGGGGCGACATTGTTCACACTGATCCTGCGAGACTGAAGCTCCTTGCAAACACCCCTATGATAAATGTTAGCCAAGGACTTTAATGGATACTGGACTGGCAAAATACCGAGTAAAGTGCTCGACAGGAGCTTTGCTGCCGGCGTAAGAAGTATAGTAGCCAGTAAACGCTCCTAGGAGCGCAGTGACAATGCTGATGATCTTTCCACCATCGGTCACATGAGCAGCGGCTTCCTTTAGGACGAAGAACGCAGTTTTGGAGTTCACCCTAGAAAAAAAGCCTTAGTCAACTATGCCCAGAGGGCTCGTGATGTTCTTCTCCAAAGACTTACGCGAACATTGTGTCATATTCGTCCTCACTGATTTCCGTGATGGGCTTCTTCAGCACCTTCCCGACTGTGTTGACCACAATATCGACATGGCCAAAGTCACGAATAACATCTTGAAACAGTTTTGTCACTGCAGCTGCAGAGGTGAGATCGCCCTGGTAGAAGGAAACCTTGATCGAAGGGTTCTTTTCCTGGAGTGTGGCTTTGAGCGCAGCTGCATCCTTTTCACCACTGGACGAATGGTAGTGAAGAGCAAGATTGGCGCCGACACTAGCCAGTTCGAGGGCACTTGCAGCTCCAAGATTCTTGACACCGCCGGTGATAAGGGCGACTTTACCAGTGAGAGCCATTTTTGTACTGAAGATAGGAAGTAGCTGGGGGGATAATGCCGATTGACAGAGATGATAGAGATTTGGTCTTTCCTCGCGAGGTTTTCATTCCTTATATGTTCAGCGACTGGACCTATGATGTAGTATACAGTACATATGTCCCAGATCCCGCATTAGTATGTGTTATCTGAAACCGGAAATCTGTGGGGCATATCCACCAAGAGATGTGGGGCGGGCTTTAGATGTGATATCCGAATTAGGAAATGCATGAACTATATATGATAGATGAGATCACGACATCATACCGATGGATATGCGGGGTTTTGATTGGGTCAATGAAATGATTTAGACTCTGCTGTGTATCACGAGCTCCCGAGAAATTGACCAGGATTCGGGTATGGCGGAGATTCACCCGGCACAGAGGTATCCATAAGGAAATACATTGCCGATCCATGTAAGAAAGCGGCATTACAGTCAATCCAAATCACCATCCGCTGGAGCAAGCCATTCAAGCCTAGTGAAGTAAGACCCCCTCGTAAACTAATGAGTCGTGCGAGACCCTGCATGTGGATATTATAATTCTCGAGACTGCCGAACATGGCCTCATAGCTTGCCATCTTTGCTATGGCTCCTATCAAAGCGTCATGTACATTCTCGGGCTGCCGAGCATCAAGACTGCGATTGATGGATAGTACAGCTTTATAACGAAGGCCGAGGAGATCGATTTTCATACTGCTAGGATCGCCCTGTAGGGAGGCATAATGCGATGCAGCAAGAAGAAGAATGACAGAGAATAAAGCGGGCTCGGTCATCACCAATGGAAACCAAGTGGTCCTCAAGAGGCCGTGGTTTCCAGGTAGGTCAAGCTCGGGAATATCAACTGCCATGTGTATCAAGTCTTACCATATTAACAAAGTCCACCTTGTCTAAATCAAGTTCAAAAAGTAACTTACAGTGATCGACCAGCAGCGGAGTCCACGGTTGACCCGAGATAGGATATGACTGGAAAGGGTCAACTCGGAGTCCGCCTATTTGAGGCAATATCGACGGTGGTTCCGGGTTAAAAGAATCGAGCCGGAGGCCGTTTCGAAATCCAGCTCCATTCACATCCTGTGCAACACCTAGCAAGATCCTTCGGGTTCGCTTGTCTCGACGCGCAGATTGCTTCCATTGATAACGCGTCACGTGAGATCGGACCTCGGGTGCTTTGGCGAGCTGAAGGGCGTCACTTGGCTTCTGAACGTTGACGAAGACAAATTCCATACTCGTCATTCTATGATATAGATATCATTCGGCTTGCGCGGCTTCCCCAGCCGTCTCTGGTAGAGGTCAAGAGACGGATAGAGGTGAGAAGGATTGATTCCTCGGGGAGAATCAATCTCGGATTTACATATTCTCCGCCGAAGCCAATGGGGTCCTAGGAACGTCTTTAAGCCGCACAGTGTGCCGTTTATATTATAAGTATTTACCAGATGTGCAAGGGTGGATTCATCGGGTGCTATTTTATTCTGTGGGAAATGAAATGCGAGATCTAGTAACTTGAAGAAACCGACCCGATCAATCGTGAAATATGACCAAGATTTTAAGAGTTAGACTCCCATGACTCCTTCGCTGACATGATCTCAAGAATCAGAGGCGTGTTCAGCAACGTCTTTTTCGCTGCTTCGTCACCTGCAGCTGCTTTACTCAAACCCTGACCGGAACCCAGAAACCTTTTGTCCCATCCCCACCCAGTGAGATATAACGCGACGAAGAAATTTTGTGTACCGCCCTTCTGCTGAATTGATGGACGCTCCTCTATGTATTCAAGCTTGACTCTTTTCCCCATAATCTTCTTAGCAAGAGCCTCCTTGGAGCGTAACTCCCCTTTCTGATGTCCCAAGTTCTTGAGAATCGGCACCCATAAACCTGCTAGCCAATGCTCGGCTACTTCATAGCCAGAAACAGGATCGGATAGTATGACTGCCGCGACGTAGGCTTCGAAAACGTCGCCTTTTGTTTTGGTCCATCGCTTTGATGGGGTGTTGTAGTTTGGCGGCACAGAAACCCTGCGGTCCAAACCAAAGCTTTCTGCGAAGCCCGAAAGTGTCTCATTCTTAACAAGCATCTCCCGAATCTGTGATATCCGACCTGCTGGTAAATCTGGAAATCTCTCCCAGACGAGTTTGGTTGCAATCAGCTCAATGTATGCATCGCCTAGGATCTCGAGTCGGTCGTAGGTCGTGTTTTTATTGTTGCTAAGAGCTGGATGGGTAAAGACAGCAAGTTCAAGCTTGTGATCCATGATAGGGGGGAGCTCAAGGCCAAACGAGCCATTGACCGACTTGGAACTGTGATCTGGGTGGCGTGAAATTGGGACCTCACCAGCTATGGAAGAATCTTTGGAAGGCAATTGACTCTTCGTCGTACGAAACGTGTCATCCAGCCTCGAAATTGCATCCACAATCTCCGAGTCAACACCAGCGAGATCAGAACCGGTTGATATTTCTCGAACAAGGCGTTGTAGAAGAAGCATACGAGAATGGTTGCTGGACTTGCCCATGCTGTGACTGACAATAATAGAGGAGGACTTAGTATCCGATGGCCGACTTGATGGTTGAAACTTTATGCAAGTAGATGTTAGAAGGTCACTCAAATCAACAGGAATTCGCTCAGTGGGATGAGAACATGGTATTCACCTTAGGCCGCTTTTGTGAGTTTTGTGTGCGATCTGACCCAAAGACAGATGATGATCTTTTCAGATCTACCACTGGCCTTTTTAAGATTGCTGGATTGTCTATCTCTTTGGCTTGAGACATATCGACTGTTGTAGCCCCTGTTCAGTCTTAGTCTAGTTTTCCTCTTGCGCCTTGAGATAAAAACGTGGATGATATGTAGGCGGTATACTTCGGGAGGTCACCTGACCACCGGTCAAACTTTCTGTTGCTACCGAAGTTCGATAACACCTGTCTACCAAGTCGCTGTGAACAGCTGCTTCACCCTTCTTCTTGCATATGATTGTTCTGAACCTTTGAGAAAGCAAAATGGCGTCAAGTCGGATCTTGGATCTAGTTAAGGTTCATCCACCTTTTCATTGCGCTGTGCCGACATTCACTAATTGACAATTCCTCTAGACCCAATGCCGCATATTCTCTCTTAATTTCAACCCGCAACAGCTTCGACTTGGAAACAAGATCTTGAGACAGCGGTTGCGTGGACCAGCGCTTGCAGCCTGGTATCCTAAGCAGACTGTGTCTTTCCAAGATTTACAAAACACTTATAAGCCTCTTGGATTGACGACATTTGACGAAGCCGAAGATGACAGAGAAGAAGCTATTCAGATGTAAGAATTGTTGTCCCATGTCACATACACTCATACTAAACATTTGATTCATAGTGCCAAATTGCGAGGGAAGGGCCGGCCGAAGAAGAAACGAACTGCTGCAGGTAATTTGCTCCTACACCTAATGGTTACTTGACATGATCAAAATCTAAGACTCGAACAGAATCAAGATCCGCAAAGAAGAAGAAGTAGACTGTCTGCTTAACTTCCAGGGCTTTGCTAAGCTCAACATTGCACCATTCACATCAATACCGGCATATATTCTATAACCGGATTATGTTCCTATGATCTGGCTGGGCTAGTGAACTACATCTTCGCAAAGCTATTTAGATCCTTTGCTTTAAGTGAGGATTGTCTAGGAACTTATTTGCTATCTTTGCTGATAGAGCTTGTTTCCCCCCATTTTGTACAATATTATCCATTTTTTTACCTTTTTTTTGGTCTCTACTAGTTCATTAGAACAATACTGAATATTCTATACAAATAGCTGGACTAGACACATATTAAATATATAATAAAGTATAGTTAGTTAACTAGGTCATGAATTGCATAACAAATGACAAAACCTCTCCGACCACGTGAGATTTGTACCTAGTGTGGTAAGATATAGGCGGTAAGGCATCGGGTGAATGCACGTGATGGCAATTGAGATGCCATATAACTATTTTGTTTTCAACCTTGTCCCCCACTCCATTGTCTTTCGCTAGCTGAGTTTAATCCTTGCACGCACTTGAACCAAGCTGCCAGTGCCACGTCTTTCCGGAATATTCTCCGCTTGGCACCGCGTGAATTCTCGGCACCGCGTTAATTGAGCGGTTGCCAAACCTTCCAGCGACCATGAAATTGAGCAAGAACCAGCTCAGAAGAGCCAAGAAAAAGGCCCAGAAAGCCGAGGTAAGATAGATATATCCCTCGAAACCTCTCAGCCGTGGCCGATACAATACTAACACTGCTACAAAGACTACAAATTCCATTGACAACACCATCGCACGAGAACTGTCACCTTCGCCAGTGGCTACTGCTCAAGATGCACCAGCTGATACCAACACTGACCTGCTTCCTGACCCAACCGATCCGCTATGGGAAATGTACAAAGGTGTTGTCGGAAAATTCGACGAGACAGTGAACGAAAATTCATCGAAGGAGGCTGATAAACCCGAGGTCTTCTTTGATGGTGATGAAATACCCGACGAAGAGCAAGAGAGCGAGCCCAAGATCTCCAAAAAGAAGCGGAAGGAAATGAACAAGCTATCCGTTGCTGAACTCAAAGCAATGGTACGAAAGCCTGAGATTGTGGAATGGACAGATACATCTGCCTCTGATCCTCGACTCCTCGTTCACATTAAAGCCCATCGCAATGTGGTTCCGGTACCCTCCCACTGGTCGCTCAAACGAGAGTATCTCTCATCCAAACGGGGAGTGGAGAAGCCGCCGTTCGCTCTCCCAAAATTCATACAGGAGACGGGAATATCCGAAATGCGCGACGCCGCTTTAGAGAAGCAGGAGCAGTCAAGTTTGAAGCAGAAGCAACGGGAAAGAGTACAGCCAAAGATGGGCAAGCTGGACATTGATTACCAGAAGCTTTACGAGGCATTTTTCCGTTTCCAAACCAAGCCAGAACTGACTCGTTACGGTGAAATCTACTATGAGGGCAAAGAATACGAGACCAATCTCAAGCACCTCCGACCTGGTGAATTGAGCGATGAGTTAAAGGACGCTCTTGGTATGACCCCGGGAGGCCCTCCCCCGTGGCTTGTCAACCAGCAGCGACATGGCCCCCCGTCTTCCTACCCCGCGCTGAAGATCCCCGGCCTCAATGCGCCGCCTCCACCCGGCGCGTCGTGGGGCTACCAGCCTGGAGGTTATGGAAAGCCACCTGTCGATGAACACAACCGCCCCCTATTCGGAGGTGATATCTTCGGCGTTTTACAGCCTCAACAACATGCCCAACAAGGAGAGCCGGTTGAAAAAGAGCTTTGGGGAGAATTACACGAATCAGAGGAGTCAGAAGAGGAGAGTGAAGCCGAGGAGGACGACGACGAACACGAAGAAGAAGAAAGTGACGAAGGTGGCGTGGGTGCAGGGGCTCATTCTCCTAGTGGCATGGAAACCCCTAGTGGAATCGAATCGGCAGTCCCATCTGAATTTGTTGGCGCCGAGAATGTTTCCGGAGAGTTTGATGTGCGCAAACACCATCGTGGTACCGACACCGAGGAATCCATTCACCCTCGGAGTGCTTATCAAGTCATACCCGAGAAACAAACGAACGTGGAAGGCTTTTTCGGGGGTGATAGGGCCTACGACCTTAGCGGAACAACAGGCAAGCCTCCTGTTCTTGGTGCAGATGACCAAAGCCGGAAACGCAAGAAGCCTGGAGATGTTGAAGTGTCTGTCAACTTGGATGCAATTCAATCTGGCGATGGTCTCAGCAAAGAGAGCCTCCAGAGCATGTACGAGTCACAGAGGCAGCAGCAGAATCCATCGAACTGGGGTTTCCAGGAGGACTTGAGTGATATGATTGCACAGGAGCACCGAAAAAGATTCCGAAAGGAAGAGGAGAGACGAGGAAAGCATTAAGGATGCTTCTTTTACTGTGATTTTCTATTTTCTTTCTTTGGGGGTTCCCGGGCGTGCTTCTTTTCATGATGAGCATTGGAGTTTGGCTGCTTTGGTTCATACTCTAGGTTGCAAGGAAAGTTTCTAGCCTTTAATGTACGGTTAGTTTTGAATGAAATTTCTTATTCTTATTGAGTAATCTATGCGACTTCAAGGGAAGTACTTTGTAGATTTATATAAATAGTATTCCAAGCATCTTGCGTAGTGTTGGTATGTACATACATCGAGCCCCACAGTCACGGGAATTGATTCTAAAAAGGGTTTAGCTTGGTCCTCCCATCTACCGCGATTCGACCCTTCAATTCCTTATACTATCTATCTACTTTCACCCTGGCTCCCCAGGAGACGGAGAACCCAGAATACTTTGAACCTCATCTCACCTCCTCTAATATCCATATTCTCCGTGCCAGAATGGACTGGGATCGCAGAAGGTTCGTTGGCGTATCCAAACGGTTTGAAAGAAAGTTTCTAAGTATTTCCCTAGATTTGATGAACGAAGAGGTGGAGAAAGCTATCGTCCCGCCGAGAGAAACGGTCGTTCCCCTTCTCGGGGGTATGAAATTCGTCACCGGCGTTCGCCACCACGAAACCGAAGCCCTCCTCGACCACGAGCCGACACTTGGGTACCGTCAGCAAATCGAGGGTACGGGCGCGTACGGAGTCGGTCACCACCGCCATACCGGCGACGCTCACGTACTCCTCCGGGGAGAAACTTTGGTCCACCCCCCTACGAAAGACGACGATCTCCACCAAGAAGATTCTCGCCCAGAAGAGATGACAGGATCAGATCACCGCCCCAAAAATGGCGCTCGAAATCGCCCTACAGTGATGGCAGATCACGCAACGCATCCCGTGCTCGCAACAGCCCTAGACGAATGCGCGATACAACTCCTGGAAGCCAAGTCTTCCGATCCGCGAGACGAGATGGCCCTGCTGTCTTGAATATTGACAAACCCCCCCGAGCTTCCTCTCCGAGAGCACAGCCAGAAGGCTTGTTGCCACAGGGCCCAATTCATGTATCGCATCGAGGCCACCCTCGTGATGTGGCGAAACGAGATGTTTCACCTGCACAAGCCTTGGCCTCACAACCCGCCCTGATATCTCGACGTTCATCGCCGGCTACAGAAAAGCCTGTTGTGGCTCCCGAAAAAGCTCGTAGTCGGTCGCCGATTCGCTCCCCGGTACCCCTGCAACGGTCGTCGAAACCCCAAGGTCGATCTCCGCACCGGGATCAGACCTACGATACGGAGCCCTCTCACACACAACAACGCCCAGATCATGAGGACCGAGCACCAGTTGGCAATCCTTCGCCTTTTTCGATTCCAGAGAGAGAATCCCAGACAAGTGGGACCAGGGTTGGTGGCAACATCCCGACTCAACCGAAAAATCACAGTGCAAGCCCACTTCCACTCCCGCCATCAGGACCTTATCAGGGACCTAGGCCGCCATCTAACCAACATCGTGGTCCTCCGCATGTCTCTTTACTATCCGCGCCGACTCGTCCTCGTCGCGGACCTGGCCCACGTGAAGCTTGGACGGGGTCACCGCCGGTACGTCGCGGGCCTGTTGCACCTTCACAAGCTCCACCAGTAGGTCCTCGCGCTTCTTTCTCATCTCCGGTACTAGGTGGCAGTTACCGACATCCAACTTCCCGGCAACCCGGCACTCCATGTGTGACTCAACCATTAGCTCAGAGGGGGATCAACCATCTTGCGGGGCTATGTACTATCATGCCGGAAGGTCGGAGTCTTCCGTCGCTTCTAGATCCTGCTGTGGAGAAGCGGTTGGCTCAGCTTGATGTCGACAAAGAAAAACTACTTGAGCAGATCGCAGAGACACAGAGGTCCAAGCGAGCGGAACTTCGAGACTGGGATCGACTCGATCGTGAAAGCTCAATATGTGCTCTTAAGAGCGAGCTAGCTGAAGGTCATCTCCAGCGAATGGCCGATGAGAGCATTGGGGGTGGAAACTTGTTCTAGCGAGGCAAATGTAAGTTTGCCCTACAATGTCAATATATCTCGGCGTTTTACTATCAAGGTATTGGGCAGGTCTAGGTAGCGATTATGATTGTATCAATATGACGACTTGACGACATTATGCATTTCGGCGCTCTATAAATATGTAGGGAAATAGTGTAGATACTTAAGATGCCGCCTCCTCGCTGTAGGTACAAATGTATACTTATTTTGCCGCTTCGAAAGGCCTTGCCAAGAGGTACCTCCATGTACCTCCATGCCTTCCTCGCTGTAAGGTATGTACCTGTGTAATATATATACCCGTACCATACACGTATTGTACCTGATCTGCAAGTAATTCGAAGTTCCCCTTCCATTTTTTGCCTTCGTGTCAACAACTCAGCTATTTTGGTCGAGTCTCCCAATTCTCAGACTCGTCTCCCTCTCTCCTTTCCTCCCTTTTCTTTCTCTCTCTCTCTCTCTCCTGGCTTAGGTCACTATTCACTACTAACTCAGATCCGTCTCCGGCACAATGAATATCTTCAGGTTATTAGGTATGGCATGAAAACCAATGGAAAACCAACGCGATATACTAACGATTGAAGCCGACTTCTCCCATTTGGCGTCGATCTTCATGCTTCTGCAGAAGATGAAGACGTCAAGCGTATGTTTTGCTATCTATAAGGCCACATATGACTTGCAACTAATGGCGCGTCGCAGAGTTGTTCCGGGTTGTCGTTCAAATCGCAGGTGCTATACCTTCTCGTTTTTGTCACTCGGTATCTTGGTAGGTTTCGACGTCACCGTCAGCTTTATGTTGATCACAATCACTCATGCGCCTTATAGATCTTTTCTGGACGTTCACCGACTCCCTGTACCTCACTACGTTCAAGCTTCTGTTTATCGGTTCCTCGGCCTACGTCATCTACCTCATGCTCAACGACTACAAACCCACACATGATCCCAACATCGATACTTTCAAAGTTCAATACCTCCTCGGAATTAGCGCGGTGCTCGCGATTCTGTTTCCGCGCGATTATCGCATCTCCGAGGTTGGTTCCATGCTGTCTACGGTGTAGAAAGAACGGGACTAACGTCATGTAGATACTCTGGACTTTTTCCATTTGGTTGGAGTCGGTTGCTATATTGCCACAACTATTCATGCTGCAACGAACCGGGGAAGCGGACACCATCACCACCCACTATCTGTTTGCTCTGGGACTCTATAGGGCACTCTACATCCCCAACTGGATCTTCCGCTATTTTACCGAAGCCTCCTTCCAACGCTCCTTCCAGCCTGTGAGCATTATCGCCGGAATCATCCAAACTTTGCTTTACTCCGATTTCTTTTACATTTACTACAACAAGTAAGCTCAATCCGCTCAAAAAAACAAAAAGACAGACGTATGATGTGGCCACTGACCTATGCGCTTTTTTTCTCCCAGGGTTTTGAAGGGCAAGAAGTTCTCGCTTCCTGTTTAAAATCCTGTCTACTTTTTGAATGAGTTAAGGAATTGATGATCTTCTAAAGGTTCGGAGATGGAGTTTCGAATCTGATCCACTCGTTCCTATATTTGCCTAGAACACCGTGGTCGCCTATCTCACAAGCACCGAGTGCCTTGAACCCGTGCAACACCCCCTCAAGCGCCGACGCTGGGAATGATTTCATGTCGCCAAATCTGTATGCATTTAGGAATGGTCTCACGAGGCTCCAATTAACCCGCAATTGGCTACTGAACATTCGAATATCGAATACGATCGCGGACCATGTGCATATCTGATTGTTGTATACCCCGATCAAAGAGGTCCTCTTGCCAAAACTTCTGTAATTTTCGGGTCGTTGGTCTACCGTTGTACAATGCAAGATTCAGAATTCAGTCGTTCAATTATTCAGCGTATTTTTGTGTTTTTTTCCCCTCTTGTCATGTTCTTCCTTTTTTTTATCCGAGTCCCTCCCTCCCTTCCCTCCCATTCAATATTGGCGTCACTCAAAACCCCGTAGCGGATGGGAATCAACTTCTTGCCCTGTCCGTGTGTGCCACCCATCAGACTTGTCGTTCACAAGGAAGCACAAGAAGATCTAGAGACTCCTGGCAAGGTATACTTTTAGAGGCAAGGTATACTTTTAGAGAGCACACACTTAGTGTACCCTGGTAATACTCAAAAAGCAACATCCACACAAGTCGGCCAGAAAGGCCAATCAATACTCTCGCTGAGGTGCAGCCCCGTGCGGGACATATCCCGTTGTATAACTCAGTTGGGACGGAGGAATGGATAGGTCGGTGGAGAAGGAATCCAAGGTACCAGCAATTGAGTGCGAAAGATTGCCCATGGGACCCTGGAACGAGCGAACTCCGTTACCTAGATTCGAGCGACTTTGCACATTTTGATGACTATCTAGCCAGCCACCGTGACCGTGACCGTGTAAATGACCAAAATAATCTGCTTGCGTCCTGTCAAGGGGAAGTTGACCGGCAAAAGTCGATTCTCGTCGCGAGATTGGCGGCGACGGAAGTTTGGGGGATCGAGAGACCATCTCCAGTCTAGGGGAGCTTCTTCGCGAATTAGGTGGCGTCAATCGAGAACCCCCACGGCGCACCTGACAGGTTGGACAGATCTTGACGAAGCGGGAGATCAGTTCCTTGGGAACCCTAATGAGATAGTCAGTGGCTGTACATCAGACATGTCATGTACATAATATATAGTACGGCACGGATTTGCCCACCATGAATATATCCGTCGGACCTGAGCAGATGTCTTGTCTCGGCCACCATGCTGGCATTGCTGATGAGCCTTGGTGAGGATCTTGAACAATTTTTCCCGAATCGCAACCGGCTTGCCCTCGTGACAGATCATCTTCCTATGCTTTACATCGCAATAAATTACTCGTCAGCATCGATTGAGATCATATCTGCTGGGACAGGCGAGACTTACATCAGATCCCACAGCTTGGAGCTTGAACATCTTTTTGACCCAAAACCTGATTTGTTTAGCAAGGCAGGTAATTGATTGAACCAAAGAGATCCATACCGAAATTGAGCAGACTCCACCGCCGTGTCTTTGGGGTCAATCAACACAGTTCTGATGTTACGGGCCCTTTTAGCATAGATCAACGCTTTATCTTGCTTCTTGATGGACAGGTCCTCAACATAGCTAGAATGAGATATTAGCATCAAGTCCATCCTGGTTGATCACGAATCACCCACTTCTGCATCAATTGATCAAACTCCTTTACATCAGGGAAGCCGCTAAGTGCGGGCACTACAGCCTCTGACAGCAACGTAGCCTCGTTATGAGACTCCTGGCTTTCAATCTCGGATTCACCCAGCGGGTCGCGGGGCAGGTACCTCGGCCCTTGAAGGTAGCGCGACTGGGACATGAACTGCGGCGGATGGTGCAGCCGAGGGTCATCCGGGGTTGTCATCGATGGAATCGAATGTTCCGACGTATACTGCAAATGCTGCAACCCCGGAGACAGACTCGACTGTGGACCGTAGGGCTGGCCAAACTGAGACCCATATGGGTTGAAAGAATGTTGAGGGAAATGATATGAACCAGATCCATGCGTGTTGAAGTCATGGCTCTCTTGCTTGAAGTCATGACTCTCTGGCTGACCGTACGAGCCAGGCATTGCCATTTGATGATTCATGAGGTAGGCATCATTCCCTTCGTTGCGCCTTGTAAAGCTGCTCATAATCGATACCTCACTGAGTCGGAATGCCACTTGATTCTTGTTCGGCTCACGTTGATCCTTCAAACAGATAGAGGAAGAAGAAGAAGAATAAGAAGGGGTAAAAAAAATATAGAGAGAAAAAAAAAGGCAGTATACAGCGAGTCTCCGAGGAAGGTGATGATGATAATGATAGTGAAACGAAGACCTGGCTAACTCATTTGCGTGTAGTCGAAGAAGAATTGGCACAGTACCCTGGTACACCACAGCAAGTATCACAAAAATAATTGAACAGTGTCTATAATATCTCGGTGCGAAAGTGAGATATAGAGAGAGAGAAAGAGGAATAATTCAGAGAAAGCCCATCTGGAAACGGGGTAGCAATTCTATTAAAAAGACCTCGATGGACAGACAGTGCAGGACTGACATGGCTGATGCCCAAGATGAAGTGCACGAGACCATGTCGCGACAGAGATAGTGGGCAGAGACAACAGAGGGCATCCCTGGAAGACGAACAGCAATATTCCACAGAGAAAAAGAAATGATGGAGCCAGGCGAGTCGAACAGAGCTCTGTAAGGTACGGAAGCATATTAGCAAAGCTTGCAGGGAAGATAGCGGCATGGATCTAACGAAAAAAGAAAAGAAAAGCAGTGAGAAAGGACTGGGGTTCGTGGTCAATTCTGTCCGACCCGCCGAAGGTATCGAAAAGTGGAAGCAGGCTGATACGACAGCGCACAGAAGGAATGGTGATACGGATTCCTGCCTTTCGATGCCCTGAGGTCAATCAGCGCCACCATTCAAGAAGCCACGTTGAGGATATGGGAGTGGACAGGCTATTCGAGGCACCCTATCGGAGATTGTGCTGACTTTGGGGGGGGGGGGGGGGAAACCCATTCGGCTCTCCTGATTTGGCCGAAGTACAGCGGGGGGCGAAGATCATCTCCCCGAATTTCCTATACTTAGACCTGCGGAACAACTCTACTCCCGCGTAGGAGGATCTTCCCGATTCGAATCAGGAAAGGGGGGAAACTCTCTTTGTTTCTGCACGTTTGCTTCGCAAACAAAGTCGGCAGGAGATACCCCGGCAAAAGGTATCTCTGTCCATGCAAGTAGCCGTGCAAATTGGTAAGGAACATGGATTGAGAATCCCCACTATAGGAAGTTCTGCACCCTCAAGCTCCTCCCCATTGGGTTCATTCGGTGAGAAGAGGGGACAGGGAGAGAGCGCGGGGAAGAAAAGAGAGAAAACGGGAGGGGGGTCATCGTCAATGGGTGTACATCGATGTACAAACAAGTGCTCTAGGGCAATTGTGATGAATCGGGCCCTCGAGATTTGAAGTCTTCTATGGGCTGGCAATCCCTGTCATGTCAATGTTGTACTGTGTCTGGGCTATGTTGTCCCACCGTATTGTTTATTTGATTTTTTTGGGGGGGAGAATTCCCAAATGGGAAGAGATGCAAGTGAGTATCCGAGAAAGAGGCTTCGATTTGACGTGGCCATTCACCAAGTCCACTTGGAGAAGGGACTTTTGCAGGGTTGTGGATGTAAAGGGAAAAAGAAAAGTACACGGAGAAGTACGGAGAAGTACCAAGGCGGGACAACAGGATGACATACGTTTGGTTGGAAGGTGAGACACATCGGACTGCTTCAAGGTTCGGACCCTCGCAGACCTGCAGACTTGCAGACAGTCCAAAACATATCTGGTGTGACAGATGTACTCTGCTGCTTTCCGATTATATATATTTGTTTTTGAGAAAACAGAGCGCTGTGTTGGTATCGAGTCCGAATGTTCAAAATAATATACAACAGATAGGCATAGACTGCTCAGAAGGACAATAGCCTCCTCTCCAAGAAAAAGATATTAAACTGTATGTACTCAAAACAAAAGATATAGTTACATAGCATATCTGCCCCCGTGGTCAGACCTTGGTCAGATATGGGCAGATATGCCCGGGAAAAAGGAGAAAACCATAAATTCATGACATCGGCCGAATCGTCACGGCCAATCGATGGGGGTCTTCAAGTCGTAAGTTCGTGTATTGGGGGGTTGGGTTAGTACATGGACACATGCGGGTAAAAGAAGGCGACCCCTGTCCGGGAAAGCTCTGTGGATATGCAGACGTCAAATCTGGCGTGCTTCTATGCTGATCCCCGATGGTGGTCAAAAGCCACTAAATCGCGGATGATCCATTCCCAATGATTTTCATGGTCGTGATCGCCTCGGTCGAATCCAACCCATTTGTCAACCTTGCGTCTCCACTTATCTTCCTCCGCCCGCTGTCGTCGAATGAATTCTGGGCCGACATCAAATTCCTCGGTCATAGGTCCTTCATCAGAGGATTCACCGGCACTTGCGTCATTTCCAACTGCTGGGAATTGCTCCTCAATGGCTCCAGAATTTCGTCCATTGATGGTGCCGCTGGTAATTTTGTCATCCAAGTCGTCCAAACCAGCAAACACGTCGTCTTCGTCTGCACCAGCTCCAAGAGACGCCCTGAGCCAACACATACGATGTGGATCGAAGACCATACCACCAACGGTCTGGACATTCTGCATCGCGCCAACGTTGGCGATGAGAGCCGGTGCAGGTTTGGGTGATTTGGGAGCAGCGGCATCAAATTCCTGAACTAGATTTTCGTTCCCTTCCCACCGGAAATTGGTAGGATTGTAACGCATACCCCTCACGGCTGAAAACGGTTAATAAGATTGCGCAAATCGTGTAAATAGAGATCAGAGGTCTTGCTTACATTTGGCATCCTGCACCCCAGATCCCATGGGCTTGATCAAGTGTGGCTTGGACGTTGGTCTAGCATTCGGTTTACCTTTCCGGCTTCTAACCGTCGCAGAGGCCGGAGGAATCCTTGAGACAGGTTGGGACTTCCAGTTTGAGTTGAACGTCGAAAGAGCATTTGGTTCACGGCCTTTCGAATTAATAGCCATGGATGCAATGCGTTGTTCCCTCGCATTTCTAGATGCATTTGTATCTCGCGCAAACCTAGGGGTCGGACTGCGCAGTTTGGAGTTTGGTGGGGACGTTAAAGATTGAGTAGGTGATTCATCACGTGGCAGATCAATCCGGCTCTGGCTGAGTCTGGCGCGGACCAACCTTGGAGCACCTCGACCAGTGGGGGTTCTGACGAACCTGCTCTCTGCCAAGACCGATGTAGATAGGTCATCAAATGACTCTAACTCTGTTCCGTCCCCGAAATTGCGTCTTTTAGTGGGTCGTGTGATTGTACGTTTTGTAGAGGAACCGAGAGAGTTTGCGCTTGTGTCGCTAAACCCAGCACGGAACGGCTCATTGCGAGTTGGCCGGGAGAGTCGAGAAGCTGTGCTCTGCGGACTAAGAAGCCCGCCGGAGCTATCTGAATTTGTGCGACGTGACGAGCGATACCCCTTCACACTGACATGATGTGATTGGGATTCCGATACACCAGCCGGCATAAATGGCACCTGTGGCCTGCGACTCAGCGACCTCGCATCAGTTGCGGGGTGATCCACCGGTGTTTTAGGTCTGGTCGAGGGAAGGCGGACTGGACGATCGACCGGTGGTCGCTGGGAAGCGGCCACTGAAGCGGCCGAGCTTAAGCCACGAATCGATGGCAGGGATCGCTTAGTCTTTAAACGCCTAACTGATGGGTTACCCTCAGGGGCCGGGGCAACGTCTCGGAAATTGCGAGACCCAAGAAGCCATCGAGCAGAGAGTGTAGGGGCTGGCGATGGATTAACGATAGGGGTTGGGAGACTTGAAGTTGACGATTGAGACGAATGCCCTAGACGCGATTGTGATGTTCGAAATTTGGAAAGAGGCGCCCCACTTTCGGACACAGTCTCAAGGTGGGTTGAATGGGTCCGATCATGCCCAGACAAGCGTGGAATACGAGTCCGTGGAGATCCTGCCGCACTGGTGAACGTGAGTGTTGTTGCAGATCGACGAGTCGGGCTGGATGGCCGTTCTGTTTTGCACTTTATGTTGGGATTCAGAGCAGGTTTTCCAAAGGAAAATGCCTTCTCATTGTCGATATCAAGGCCAGAGAAGAAGTCGTCGGCGTCAGAACAAACATGGCCCACCTGACTCTCTTCCGCTTCGATATTCTCAGCTTGCGCAGCCTGTCGCTTTTGCAGAGAAGCATTGAAATCAAGGGGACCTTCGGGGATGACGATACCGTCCAGGCCATCGTCTTCACTTTCTGCGGTGAGACAGCTTGAAACGCTGGGGCTGGCGATAGAGATAGAAGAACTAGGAACTGAACGACCATCCCTTGCGGTACCACCAACTCGTACACCGATACTCCCTTCAGACCACTCAAGATCAAAGTCCTCTAAAGTGGGACTGGAAACGTAAAAATTATCTTTTCGATGGGATAATTCAAGAGGTTGATGATTGGCGGGAAGTTCAAAATCCTGGTTGAAGTCGTCGTCTGCTTCCCGTTCAACACCGAAGCCACTGCCGACATCGTCGATGTTCAATTTCTTCGGAGATCGAGGAGTTGGGGCTTTGAGAGTTGGGATACGAGCTTCTGGGCTATCATTGTCGTCTTGGAAGGTGTCAAATGGTCCCAAGGGAGATTGCAAACGCGTCGAGAATTCGTCATCCCAAGATGGCGAGGCAGTGAATTTCACTGGACTAGTAGCAGCGGAGCTCAAATGTCGAAGAGAGTCAGGAAATATGGTTTCCCGAGGAGTTCTGAGATGTAAAAGGGTTTCAGGACCTGGGAGCTCGACGTCTTCTGACCAGTCGTCAACAAAAGTTTGCTTGGTCTTTCGAGTTGATAACCGCTTGATCGTGCCCCCAATAAGAGCTGACTTGGGGATATCTGGAGGAATGGGAATGCCCGCAGTCTTGGCCGAAGCAATAGCATCTTCTTTTGCAAATTCATCGTTGTCGTAGAGCGGTACCTGCCAGTCTTCATCGCCCGCATTAGAGTCAATATCTGAGCGAGCAGAGCGTCGAGAGGAAATAGAATCTCGGTGCCCAGAGGGCCGAAATGACGAGTTCGTTATGGAGCCAGCGCTGGATGC